TCGTTCGAACATCTTATTCTTAGTTTTCCTAATCCAGATTGCAAAACTGTAAAACCACTCTTGTTTGTAGTTTTATATCATCCATCAGGCCCTTACTCTGAGTTTTTGGATCAGAGAGTTTTTATCAGATTTGGTGCTAAATAATGATAAGGTCATTGTAGTGGGGGATTTTAACATTCATGTGGACATTGAAAATGATAGCCTCAATGTAGCCTTTAGTAATATCTTAGACTCAATTGGTTTTACTCAAAGAATACATAGCTCCACCCACTCCTGCCATCATACATTAGACCTTGTGCTGACTTATGGCATAGAGTGCGAGGAAATAATTATCTTTCCACATAATCCAGTCCTCTTAGACCACTTTCTGATAACCTTTGAGTTTTTTATAACAGAGTTCTCGAGACATGAAAGTAAATTTCACTATAGTCGGTCTCTATCTGACAACGCAGTTGCATCTTTTAAATCAACTGTTCCATCTTTACTGTCCTCAGCATCTCAGAGGAACGTAGCAGAGGGCAATATTTTCAGTTCTAACCCCTCACAAATTGATGCCTTAGTTCATCATGTTAATTCCTCTTTATGTGTGGCATTAGATGATGTTGCCCCTTTAAACAAGAAGGTAGTTAGAGACAGGAAGTTGGCTCCCTGGTTTAATTCTCATTTATGAGCCTTAAAACAAAACTCTAGAAAATTGGAGAGAACATGGCGCTCTACGCACCATGAGGAGGCCTACCTATCCTGGAAAAATAGTCTTGTGCTTTATAAAAATATGCTTCGACAACTAGAACTGCTTTTTTCTCAGCATTAATTGAGGAGAATAAGCATAATCCTAAATTTATTTTCAGTACAGTAGCTAAACTTACACAGAATCATAGTTCTGAGCCATCTATTCCCTTAGCACTCAGCAGCAATGACTTCATGGGATTTTTTACAAGTAAAATTAATTCTATTAGAAACAAAATCTTTAGCATCCTCCCTAATGTGATTTCTTCTTCCTCAGTAAGTGAGGCAGCATCAGAGGTGACTTTAGAACCTCATCTGTGCTTGAACCGTTTTGATCCACTTGAGCTTTCAGAGTTATCAAAAATATTAGCTTCATCTAAACCTTCAACTTGCATTTTGGATCCAATCCCAACCAAATTATTTAAAGAAGCATTTCCTTTCGTTACTGCCCCCATTCTAGATATAATAAATCTATCCTTAGTAAATGGGTATGTACCACAGGACTTTAAGGTTGCTGTAATCAAACCTTCACTTAAGAAGCCTTCTCTGGATCCAGATGACCCAATGAATTATAGAACAATATCTAACCTTCCATTTTTATCCAAAGTCCTGGAGAAAATAGTGGCCATCCAAGTATGTGAGCATTTAAACACTAATGCTCTGTTTGAGGAATTTCAGTCTGGTTTTAGAGAGTATCACAGCACTGAAACTGCATTAGTGAGAGTTACAAATGATATTCTCATGGCCTCAGATAAGAATCTTGTGTCTGTTCTAGTCTTGTTAGATCTCAGTGCTGCCTTTGACACAGTTGATCACAATGTTCTTTTAGAAAGACTTGAACATGTTGTAGGGATCAAAGGAACAACGCTAGGCTGGTTTAAATCCTACCTGTCTGACAGATTTCATTTCGTAAATGTACATGACAAATCGTCTTCATACTCCAGGGTTACTTGTGGAGTACCACACGTTTCAGTGCTTGGACCAATTCTTTTTACTATGTATATGCTCCCAATTGGTAAAATCATTAGACAGCATGGGATAAACTTCCACTGTTATGCTGACGATACTCAGCTATATTTATCCATTAACCCTGATGAACCTAATCGGTTGGGTAGATTACAGGCTTGTCTTGAGGACATAAAACATTGGATGACTCTAAACATTTTGCTTTTAAATCAAGACTAGACGGAAGTTCTCATCTTTGGACCAGAAATCCAGAAAAGGAAATTGCTTAGCCAATCGCCTGACCTTAATGGCATTAAATTAATCTCCACGAACAAAGCAAGGAACCTTGGTGTTATCTTTGACCAGGACATGTCATTCAAATCCCAGGTTTCACAAGTTTGTAGGATTTCCTTTTTCCACCTTCAGAATATTGCTAAGATTAGAAGCATCCTTTCCAGGAGTGATGCTGAAAAACTAGTTCATGCATTTATTACATCAAGACTGGATTACTGTAATTCATTACTCTCAGGAAGTCCACAGAATGTAGTTAAAAGTCTTCAGCTTGTCCAAAATGCTGCAGCTAGAGTTCTGATGAGAATTAAAAAGAGAGATCATATCTCTCCTGTCTAAGCTTCCCTACATTGGCTACCTGTTAAATTCAGAATAGATTTTAAGATCCTCCTTCTCACATACAAAGCTCTTAATAATCAAGCTCCATCATACATCAGTGATCTGATTGTTCCATACGTTCCTAACCGAGCACTTAGCTCTCAGACTGCAGGTCTACTGGTGGTTCCCAGAATATCTAAAATTAGGATGGGAGGCAAATCTTTTAGTTATCAGGCTTCTCTCCTGTGGAACCAGCTCCCATCCTTAGTCCGTGAGGCAGACACTTTGTCTACTTTTAAGACTAGGCTTAAAACATTTTTATTTGATAGGGCCTATGGTTAAAATCTGATGTTAGCCTAAATCTGGACAAGTGGGGGAGTGGAGGGAGGTGGAGTGTACAGTCGGTAAAGACGACTCTCCCATGCCCTGCCTCCATCTAAATAGGATAGATTATCCAGAGTTATCTCTGTAGTTATGCTGCTATAGGCTTAGACTGCTGGAGGATACACTGACCACTTTTCACACTCTACTGCTTTCTTCTACAATCTGCTCTTTAACTGTATTATTTTCTTCAATTTCAGCTGTTAACTTTATTTTCTCTCTAAGTGTTTTTCTCCCCAGAAGAAGCAACAACAATGTTCTGCTGAGCTGTGGTGGCCTCATGGAGGGGGCCATCGACTAACACACTGCTGCTAACCACTTAAACATTCTCCTTCTCCTGATAATAACTTTTTGCTTTCCTTGACGTTGGACGTGCTACTACTAGTTTACCGGTTTAATTACAGATCAACTAGGATAAATACAATAAAGTTTATCTCTCGCCAAATAGAATATTTACTAAGACATCACAATAGAACTATAGACACATTATTGTGTGTGTGTGTGTGTGTGTGTGTGTGTGCCTGTGTGTGTCTGCTCTGTCTTCTCGATCCCCAGTGAGTCGTGGAGGATGGCTGCTTATACTGAGCCAGGATTCTCTGGAGGTTTCTTCCTGTTAAAAGGGAGTTTTCCTCTCCCCTGTTGCTGCATGCTTGCTTAGTATGAGGATTGCTGTATAGTCACTGACACTAGTCAGTGACTTGATGCAATTTGCTGGGTTCCTTATATAGGACACATTATTTCTGATTGGATTAATGAACTGTGAATTGGAATGTTTATTATGTGAAGTGCCTTGAGACGACTCTTATCGTGATTTGGCGCTATATAAATAAACTTGAATTGAATTAAGCCCTGTAGCTGCATGCTAAGCCCAAACCATCAGCCTTCCATCACCGTGCTGACAGGTGGCGTGGTGTTGCTTTACTGCTGTACATCGTGGTCAGACATTTACACAATGGTCTCATCTGTCTTGTGGTTTGCTCAAGTAAACATTAGCAAACATAAGTTGTTCTACCATCTTCTCTTTAGATGACACAGAGCTGTTGTTTTTGATGAAGCTGAAAATAAATGAAGAAAGCAAACAAACTGCCTGAGTCGTCACCGTCAAAAGGCCACAGCACTGATGTTTTAATGCTCAGTGATGGCTTTGTGATCTGGAAGGGTCAGAAGGCAAGAAATCCTAATACGTACCTAATAGGGACTGGAATCAAATGTGAGTTTTTTCTGTTGCTCCCCAAAGAATCCCAAATCATGGCAAAACACCAGAAGGATCTCCTTCAGGAGGCGGGCATCTGCTCAGGAGTCACTGGTGCGATCACGGAAGATATGAGCGCACTGATCCTCCAACGCCACCAGATCAGCCATGCTATAATGTCAGGTTCCCGTCAGTGTCTCTTAAAGGTTCGACAGCAGTTATGTGATAAAACTCTTTCTCCACAAACTTAATTATTTAATAGATTAGGAACACGTGTGGATGACTGAGACCTTCAGCATGCATGCTGTAGGACCGTTTCTACAAACAAAACTCCCAAATAAAAACAAACCATATTTGGTTTCATTTGACAAAAACAACATGAAAAATAAGTTTAAACCCACTTTTACTGTTTTAAGGAAGAGAGAAAGCCAATTATTGTAATGTTGAAACACACTTATGAACTGAATGACGGGAGGAGGATGCAAACCCAAATAATCCATGATTTAGTGGTTCACCAGCTCTCTCCAGCATGAAGGTTGTTTACATGTGCAGCCGAGTGCTGCAGACAGTTCAGTGTCATTTCTGCAATTTTCCCAGAGAGCTGGAATCGTATATCATCATCTGTGCAGAACATGTGATATAGCCTGTTCCCCGACAGATGAGGGTGAAAAAATGGTTTTCCACTCTTCACCATTTTAACAACAAAACATATACTCACATTACCATAATCACAGGTTAATCACATGCATGCACACGCTGCTCAGGGGTGTGCTTTTATTTTTCTTCAAAGCTATTCACGCCATTTTAATTTGTAAGCTATAAACTCATCTGTGTAATTATTCAACCTGCATGCCGTCTCAATACTCTGAATGAGGGAGAAAAACACAGGAAGGAATAAATCAGGACAAATGACCTCCAGCAGGAAAGAGACGAGTGTCTGTTTACACGTCGCTTATGAATGTATCTGGCTGCTGTTCCATCACACAGGCAGAGGTAGGAGAGACCTGCCTCCTAAAGAAGTCTGAAGAGCATAAAAGTTTACCAAATTATGGCAGAATAATCAGCTGAGCTCAGGAGTTTGATCAGTTTTCATGATTCTGAGGAACATTTCAGATAGCAATGAAGCAAAAAGGTAAAGAAAAATATATAAGCTGTAGACAAACTCGGCTTTATTGATGAGAACACTTGGGCAGACACAAGGCAAGAGCTAGGGAATAGCTCAAAACAATGTAACTCATACAAAAACGGTCTTTGATCAGTTGCTCGCGTGGATAATGTCTTCAGTAAAAATAATAATTAAAAGGTTTTTTAAAACGAGAAAGCCTGGAGGAGGCTGGGCTTCTTTAAAATGACTTCATAAACGGTACAAAACATGCATCCCAGGTTATTTCACAACTGTCACTCTTAGAATGTACAATAATTGCACAAAATTTAATTAAAATCAACAAAAGAAACTTTACATAAACTGTATAAATTCGTCACAGACGCTACACTCAAGACTTACTTGGCTAGGCCTAGTTCCCACACAGAGTAACCACTGATTTACACAACAAAAGGTACCGTCCGACCACTGGGCTGTTCTTCAAACAGCCTGAGGTAAGCTTTAGCACATGAGACGCAGCTCAGTCAAGGCTAAAAATCAAAAGAAGTTTATAAACAACACAAAAAATGTGAAAGATGCATCTTCTCTTCTAAAATTTTGGTGGAAAGAAATTAAAAGTGCCAAAGTACGTCCGACTCCCTTTAGATGGCCAACCGTCTCCTCGCCCGATGAGCCAGGACCATGAAGTAGTGCAACACAACAAAAACAAATCATTACAATGACAAATCAAAAAGGCAAATACCTAAAAGGCGAAACAGGGTGAAGAAAATCGCTTAGTGTTCCCTTTTCTGCTTTCGGCCGGCATCGACCTCGTCCAGGCCGCTGGCCGACCTCGACTGCTGCAGTTCTCTGAGCTGAGAGTGAGTGCGCGGCGGCTGCTTCTTCAGCTTCTCCAGATGAACGTCGATCGGGTCCCGCTCGGGCTCCGACTCGGGGACTGGCAGGTAGCCGCCGTCCCTTGGCAGACACAGACACCAGCCGGCACCGGCCAGGTCCAGATCGCTGTAATCAAATTCTGACTTCTTCAGCTTGAAGTCCACCATGTCAGCCGACTCGCTCATGTCCACCAGCAGGTTCCAGAAGACACAGCTCAGGATGATGCCCAGCAGCTGCATGGAGAGACAATGTCCCCGTTACAGTTAATGCAGAACCATCAGTTACCAGATGCAGGGTAGGGTCCCGTGTGCTAAATCACATCCCTTGTTCACTTCCCTCTACGATTGATTATGCTGCCTCACTGCCACCTAGGACTGACCGACTAGTGTCTGTTGTTAGCCTCAAGGGCAACCTGCTGGCTTCATCATCACCTGTAAATCGCTTTGGACAAAGCGTCTGCTAAATACATAAACAAACTAAATCAAAGAGATTTATATCCAGATTGTTGAAAATAGTTATTTTTAGGTCATTTGGCTAAAATGATTCAACTGTTCCTTTAAAAGTATGTGATACTGATCTTTAAATTAGTTTTAAATATCAACTTTTCCTTGTTGAGCAACACTGAGCAAATGAATGTTTTAGAGATTTCCCTGCTTCAGCTCACCTGACTTAGATCAGCAGATGTTCAGCAGGCTTCTGCAGAGCCCGATGAGCTGCTGAACGGGTGATTCAACCACTGAATCAGGTGTGCTGGAGCAGGAAAACAGTTCAATGTCTGACTTCACTGCAATTTAAAAACTAGAAGGACTATGGAAAAAGACAATGGACACACACCATATTTGTTTTGAATAATAGGATGACCGCTGACCAAAAAATAAAAACAATCAGGCCTGATAAAAAAGTGCATGCAGATCCCACGCAGGAGCTAAATTCAAATGCATCAAAAATGCTTTTGTCATTCTAAGTGGCTTAAGGGAGTTTTTAGAAACTTCCCTACTGGGAGAGCTCCATCTTACTGAAACTTCCACAGGAAGTGATGGTGAGCCTCTGCTGGAGAAGTGTCTGCAGCTTCAGCGCTTGTTTCAAACAGTTTAGTGTCAGCGAGTCGGGGTCCTGAGTTTTCAATTACCTGTGGCAGTCCAATGGCGCAGCAGACTGCAACGGTTATTCCAATGTTGTCACTCATCCAAAGGTTAACTGCATGGATGCAGCCTCGCACATAAATATCATCATGCAGAGTTTCACGCTGATGGACAGAGCAGAGGAAGAAACCAGAGGAAAGTTTCACTTTTTTAACTCAAACTCGACAGGTACAGACTCCCACACCCACAAAAAAGAAGTTCTAAAACTGCAAGAGAATGACATTTCCACCAATGTTTGAGACAAAAAACTAACATTTTCATTCAAAGTTTTTATTTCATGTGGATTAAACAGATTTTTGAGTCTGTAATTAATGGCTTCTAGGGATTGCCAATGGCCAATCTCCAGGTAAGCCCATCATGTTGACTACGGGCCAATCCTGATGACCAGGGACCTCATTTAAAAATCTCTGTGGAATCCTTCCTAAAACGCTTTAAGCTCAGCTAAAAGTATTGGTAACACATCAGTTTATAGTCCCCTAATAACCAAGTAGTTACGTGGTAATCACATTGCAAGTGTATTATTGTGTAATTAACGTGTGTAATTGTAATAAAGTGTAATTATTGTGTAACGAGTATTTACTGGGAATGATTCATAAAAATAAAAACTAGAATTGAACCTGAGTTACCGATACATGGTAATAACCGTTAAAGAACTCAGAAGCAATAATACACTTTAAATTACTATGCAATTACCATGTAAGTACTTAGTAATTAGGGGACTGTAAAACCAAACTATTTACCAAAGTATTTACCTGCACAAATACATTTTGGACCTATAAAACTCTGCATACACACAGCTGCTTTATAAAACACACCTGTCCTAGAAATGTGCTCAGGTGGTGTGTTATCACGTCCCTACTGCTACACACCTACTTCCTGCCATATATGGTCCATGCAAAGTGCCTATGGATTCTCTGCATATAAATAAGCTGGCTGAGTTCACAGGTAACCATGGCAACTGAGAGGTCTAGAAAATGAAATTTCGCATGACGGAGAGGCACGTAAAACATTTTATTGCCTTCCAGGAGCAAAGGGTTGTTGCATTGGTGAGCTGTGAGTGAAGAAGTGCAGAAGAGAGATTGCGACATCAAAGAGAAAATCAAAATACAAAAAAGGCGTGGAAAGATGGAGGCAAAGAGGAAGATGGTAATAATTATTGATGCCATTGAAAACAGTTGCATTTTGGTACTCAGGGACTAATGAGACATTACATATGCAAACAGAATATTTCATGTATACTTCTCCGCCTGAGTCGCCATTATGCGTCTGCGTTTAGTTTCCCCTAGGTAAGTTCTGGACAGTCCTCATTACACTGGATTGCATAAACGACGCCACTAAGCTTCTGTTTGGGTGTTTTGTCTTTGGGATGGACCCGTTTCTGTCTGAGGGTGTTACTGGGTTAGGGCAGGGGTCGGCAACCTGTTCCCATCAAAGAGCCATTATTACCCATTTCCTACAGTAAAGAAAACACTGAGAGTCACAGCAGAGCGCTGCTTTAACCAATCACAACAGGTGACAGCAGCCAGTACCGGTCGCTCGTGTATGTCAAAGTTATCTTTCATAGGAAGATAATCAATAAAACGATTTATATAAAGTGGATCCAGAAGTTGTAGCCCGTCTCTGCCGACAATATTTTGATATTTTTCACCCTGTTGGTGGTTTTACTGAGCAGGTGCCACTTTTGTCATACGTTTCTTTTTAAAACATGTTTAGACTGTTCAGAATACAAATCCTGGCTCTGTCACGTTTGATTGTTGTAATTAAACTTTGTAGGTGGGGAAGGTCAGAAAAGGATCCGATAATTTTGTTTTTCCCTCATTTACAGTGACGGAGATAACGGCGCAGTGCGCCTGGCTCTGGTGTTAATCAAGTTTAATTTTATCTATTTGCAACAATTTTCACAAGAAAACAGAACAGTTAAAAGCAGGGCTTGTGTTGACCGGACAGTTCCCGTATTTGACCGTTTATTTTGACGGAGAAAGAATAGAAAGAATTACCCCGACGCATGCAGACGAACTGACATTTTATTCTACGCACATCACAGATGTAGCTAAATCACTCAAGAAAATATTCCCATCTGAACATCTGAGCTGGACACTGCTCAGCGCAGCTCGCTGTCAGCGCGTACGTATGGTGCACAGCGAGCTGAAGATGTGGAGAGGGGCTTGGAGCACGTCACAGAACCAGAGCACATGCAGGAAGATTCCTCCGACTGAAGCGAGACTTGTCACTTAGAAAATGTTCCCTGATGATGAAACTTTGGCTGAATAGTGCTTGTTCCTGTCTCCAATGTGGCGACACATCCAGGAGCCGTCTGAGGAGAATCCCAGAATCTCACATCCTCTTCAGCTCAGAAAGCACAAGCGTGACGCGTCAACCCGGTCTCACAGTAGACCGGGTTGGAACTGTTCAGGTTTACGCAGACAATCTTTACATAGAATTGGCATACAGATGTAAAATTAATGCAGTAAAATATAAAGCATTTTATTTAAATATCCATTCATTATTTTACAAGCACAGAGAGCCGCATCAGATGGATGGAAGAGCCGCATGTGGCTCCAGAGCAGCGGGTTGATGGCCTCTGGGTTAGGGGAACCTCAAGACTAGGGCTGCAACAAACAATTATTTGGATAATCGATTAATCGGATGGAGTCTCGACACGATTAATCGGATTACGTAGGGACATTTTTAAAAACTGGTAGGGAAACGTTATTTCTCTCCTTCCTTCACTTTATTAAACACAACATTATTAGAAAATAGTTCAATAGCAGAAAAACAACATGCCATCACCTAAATTGTCTTATAAGGTGTATAGACAGAGACCCTAAGCTACACCTATCTGTGAACTAAAATGCTTGGTCCAAGTTAAACAGCTTAAAGAGCAAGTCACCCCCTACCAGAGTCTAACTCCACTCCCACTTCATGTTTGAAAAATGCAACACATGCTGTTGCCAGGCAGACCGAGAGGGCACAGCCGCTAACAAATACACACACTCAGGCTCACGACAGCATTGTGACATCATAATG